TTTAAAAAAAAAAAACTAAGAATTCTTAACACCTTTTTCTTCTACATAAAAAAAATTTTTATTATTTTGTTTATTTGTTTGTTACAAACAAAACACCCAAATTAAAAATATTTTTAATGTCAAGGTTTCTTATTTCAGACATTTTTACAATAAATGTTAAATAAAAATGCCAAACCGGTTACATGGTTATCTGCTCTTTTAGCTTAACAAGTTACAAGTACCCTCAGAATACTCGACAACAAACACAAACTGTTGTTGTAAAAAAATTTGTACATACATGTTGTTAATACCGAGTTTAGTTTAAATTATATATGGTTTTTTTGTCTGTTTCTATAAGAAATTCATTCATTAAAATCTCATAAATCATATGATGCTTTTTGAAATCAAAAAAGAGAACAGCACAACATAAAACAATATCATACATAATGAGGCCCAGACAAGTCCTACAAATGGACAACATATTATATATTACACCAGCCTTAAGCTATAGTTTTTTGTTGTTGTTTTGCTTTCAATAACTTTTGTGTTTTACGTCTCTTAATGAAGTAATAATGCTCCCAAAAGAATCCTTTTTTTTTTGGTTTTCTACGTTTCCTTTTGCTTCCTCTTGCTTCTCATGTTAACAGATGTTAAATTAAGAATCTGTGCTAAAAATGTCATTAATATGCAGTACAAACCATGTTCATAATTTAAAATATTTTATTGATCAACTATGATCAAAATTGTTTAAGTGATGACAAAAAAGAGTTTAATTTATTTCATTATTAAATTAAGTTTAATATATACAGTCAGAAGATTCAATTAAGTTAAGAATTGTTGTTAATAATTGAACAAAAATCATGTTGAAAATATTTAATTAAATATTATAGGTTTTTTTTGCAGTAACAAAAATGTATAAGGAATACGTATAATCAAGTAGTTTGCTGCATTATAATAAATTGAAAAACAACATGATATTTATGCTTAATCATTGTTTTGCTCTCGCAAAAAAAAGAACACTTGTAAGAATTAATTATTATAAATATTATGGTAATTATAATAATAAGTATCATTTAATTTTTAATAAAAAAACTGAAAAAAATTTAACAAAATAACAATGATTTCAAAATCAAACTCAAGCTGCATTTCCTTAACATTTAGCCACATTTTTCTTATAACCAAACCCCCCCAAAAAAAACCATCAAATTTGAAACTGCAAATCATCGAACAAACACTTGCTTACATCTTTAAACATCTTCAAAATATTTCATTTAACTTAACAACAATTACCATTGTTCTTAAAGCAACACAAACAAAAAAAAAAGTAAATTCTGTATTGTTAGAACCTAAGCAAATAATAGGATTTCCTGCTTAAAGTATTTTATTAACCCTTCAGCAAAAAACCAAAAGAAACAAACAACAACAGCAAACTTCTTAAAGAATAATAATTTGTTAAAATTTCAAACACGCACTTGATTTAAACACTTGAGAAAAAAAAAACACCACCAGCTCTGCAATAGCAACAAGCTGGTAAGAAAAAGAAGCAACAATTTGTATAAAGGAAGAGCCACCACTACGACAATATGAAAGAAATTAAACATGTACAAAATGAAGAAAAAAAAACAATATACAAATCGTTTTCATAAGAAACGATAAAGACAATTTTTATATTTTGTTCATACCATGTAAATATATGTATGAAAAGGTTAATAAACTATGAAAGAAATTAAGAAAACAAAAGCAACAACAAAATATAAGTAAAGAAACATAAAAAATTTAATTTTTTTACCCGAAAAAAAATGTGTAAAACATGGTGACAGGTAATTGAACTTTAAGCTTAGGTGATTTTTGGTTAACAAAAACATTTTTTGGATAAATTTTAACAGAAGGAAATCAGTAGTGTGTTTCGTAGGTGCAGAAAAGAAATTATGTGGTTTCATGAAGCTTATCAAATTTCAAAGTTTTAAGACAGATTTTTGAAATTTTTCTTTATAAATTTACCCAAATTTAAGGCTAAAAAGTTTATAGTAATAAAAGTTTGAATTTAAAACTCTTGCTCATCCTTTCAATGTTTTCTTTTATTTTCCCAAGTTTGTGTCCTAAGTTTTTTGTTTTAGTCGTCTTTGACAACCTAAAACCAACTCTGGATAAAATTTAAAGTTTTTGTCAAGTTTGTGTTCTAACTCTTTTGTATCAATCAACTTTAACAAGTCCTTGACAACATAATGTAATGTCTTGGTTTAATTTGAAGTTCATTACTTTTATCTCTTTTAATTTTTTATTTTATGATCCAAGGTTTGCATGCTAAGTCTTTTATTTTAACTGAAACTTTTGCTTTTAGAGGAGTTTTCAATTCTTTCTCTCTATTTTAATATTTTTTATTTGTGTTAAAGTTTGTATTCTAAGTCTCTGGTTTTAACATTTTTTGAATTTATTGGAGAGAAATTTATTTTTGCTTTTTAATTGTTACCGAAATTTAAGGACAAATAGCTTATAGTTTTAAAAGTTTGATTTTGAAACTCTGGCTTATGTTTTCATTGTTTACTTTTATTTTTTCAAGTTTGTGTCCTAAGTCTTTTGTTTCATTCAACTTTAACAAGTCTATGACAACTTAAGGTATTTGTTTCATTTAAAATGTGCAACTTTTTCTATTTTAATTTTTTATTTTACGATCCAAGGTTTGTGTTCTAAGTTTTTTGTTTTAATTGAACCTTTTGCTTTTAAGAGAAGTTTTTAATTCATCTCTCTTTTTTTAATATTTTATTATTTTTTATTTATTTGAAAGTTTGTGTTCTAAGTCTTTTGTTTTCAACACATTGCTTGTCCTTGACAAGTTAAAGCTTAGAGCATTTTCTTAACAAAAATACCAATTTATTAAGAGTTTTTGCAAAAGTTTAATTTAATTGGCTAAGGTTCGTGTTCTAAGTCTTTTGTTTCTATTGACTTTTACAATCTAAGCTAAAGTCTTGCTTTTATGAGGAGTTTCAACTATTTCTCTCTCCTTTAATATTTTTACTATTTCATTTCAAGTTTGTGTTCTAAGTCTTTTGTTTTCAACACATTTTTGCCCTTGACAATCTAAAGCACAGTCCTGTTTTAATTTAGAGCATTTTCTTTTCGAAAATAACAATTTATTTCGAATTTTTGCTAAAGTTTCATTTAATGGTCTAAGGTTTGTGTTCTAAGTCTTTTATTTAAATGGACTTTTATGGTGGTGTGTCAAACAGTGTCTTAGTGTTCATGGACGTTATGACACTTTCATAAGTGTCACAATGTGGATGAGAAAAGTGGCATAAAGTCCATGGATTACAAATAGTCCATTTATCATAAAAAGTCTTAATATTGACGGTATTCGAAATACACCGGAGTTTTAAACATCTGCACCCTGCCGAAGGTCCTCTATCCAGGACACTTTTTAAATGATTCCAAAGTTACAAGCAACTCTATCCAGGAAAAGAGTGACACTTTCTTAAATCCTAAACAAATTTTCCAATACATTTATGTTTTAAAAGTGTCACAAAGTCCATAAACATTATGACACTTTTGGACATTATGTTCATGGACACTATGACCCTTTTTTCTGAAATAACGTCTGAAATAACGCCACCACTTTTACAATCTAAACTAAACTCTATTTTTTAATAGAAGTTCTCTCTCTCTCTATTATTATTTTTATAATTTAAAGTTTGTGTTCTAAGTCTTTTGTTTTTTATATTTTTTTGTCCTTAGCATTTGCTTTACAAAAATAACAATTAATTTAGAGTTATAGCTAAAGTTTCATTTAATGAACTAAAGTTTGTGTTTTAAGTCTTTTGTTTGAATGGACTTTTACAATCTAAACTAGAGAAACTCTTGCTTTTTTTCAAAGTTTACAACTTTTTTCTCTCTCTCTTTTAATTATTTTTATTATTTTATATTTAGTTAAAAGTTTGTGTTCTAAGTCTTTTGTTTTTAGTAAATTTTTTGTCCTTGTCAATCTAAATTAATTTCATGTTTTAATTTAGAGCATTTTCTTTACAAAAACACCAATTTATTTAAATTTTTAACTAGAAAATTTCACCTGATCGTATTTTTTTCCCACCCTGATCTAATTTAACCTTTTCACAAAAACATGTCGCTATATCAGACATAATAAAGTGTTGAGACTCTTTAAGTCTTACGTTTTAAAATTCTCTGACAAATATAAGACTTTTACAACTAAATCTAACCTTGAATTAAATTTCATTTCATTTCGCTAAAGCAAACAAACCGTCTGGCCTTTATCACACACCAACAATGCAAGATATATTTCACCTGTTTTTTTTTTCTTCGAACACAAACATGCGTTTAGAATTTCCTTCTTTTCCTTAGACCCGCAGCCAACATGATTTATAAACACTTGTTATGCTTAAAGCATAAAATATCAATTTACGCAATTTTTCTTATTTTACCTAAAGTTTAGGTCTTTAGCTCGCATACATTTAAATTTACACATTAAGCGTGAGCAGCTAGTTAAACATTAAACTAACAGCAAAAATCTTACAAAGGTTCTTCTTATATAGAAGTAAAGTACTATGTGCTTTTAGTTTTTGTTTTAAGCCGCCTCAATTTGGCGCTATGGCGCCCTTGTCTTTAGTATTTTAGCATTTTTTTTTTTTTCACCAACCATACTTACAGTGACAGTTTGACATTGAAAAAGTGTAATTAATTAGTCATAGTTTAGGCGCTTTAGAGACGCTACTCTTACTATTAGACTATCAATTAATGTTGTACGACTATATAATTTGAGTAGAATATTTGTTCTCGACAAAAAGAGCAGGAAAACAGAAAACTTTATAAAAGATAAAAGCTTTAATATAAAGCTTGCCAATGATAAATTAAGAAAAAACTTGGTTAAGGTAGTGTATGTTATTTTTTTTAAGTTGATTAACGATTTTAAATGCATTTTATGTTAAAGATTTTAATTCAATATGTTTTTTTTGTGTCTTTTTATTGAATAATTTATTAATTTATGTATTTTTTTATCTTCTTTATCTTTACAGCAAAAATGAAAATATTTTTGCCACTAGTCACGTGGATAGTGCTACTTTCGAGTACAGTAAGTATATGTTTTTTTCTATATATTTATATTAAAATTTTAATAATAGGTTTATTAAGAAGTTTTAAAAGCAGATTAAATTTTAATATATAGATTCGAATCCCTGGACTTACTTTATAATTGTTCATTCTGACGTCACTAAAAGAAAATTACACATATTTCAACATAACTCGCTTTGTCCTTTTTAATTTGAACCATTTTAAAGTTAAACTAAGATTAGAAAGCCAACAAATTTTCAACCCGAAAAAGCCATCATTTTCTAAAGGCTGAATTCGAATCTTGAATAGGATTTTCTTTAATGAATCATATTTTAGTGAAGTTTTAAAAACCATCATTTGTGACCTTAATTTAGATGTTATAACAGTGGGTTAACACCTTACTTATGACACGCCAATCTGCTGACTTTAAAATAAAGGTTTAATCTTTGTTCTGTATTTCTTCTTCGATATATCTAAGCTAATTTCGTTTCAAATATGACAAAAAGCTTTTTTTAACTTTAGGATATCTTGAAAGCATGATGTCATGGAGTAAATCTGATGCTAGATTCGTATTCCGCGCAACTCTTTCCTTTAGTAAAGTCTCTGTTTTAACTATTTTTATACCCTTCACCACTATAGCGGGGAGGGTATTATGCGTTTGTGCTGATCTTTGTAACACCCAAAAATATTGGCCCTACACCCACCTTAAAGTATACCAATCGGCTCAGAATCACTTCCTGAGTCTGTCCGTCTGTGTGTCCATGTAAACCTTGTGCGCACTCGCAAATTTTTGAGATAATTTGATGAAATATGGAACTTTGAGCTTCTTGAGTTGTAATTCGTCTATTATTTCACCTAGCCCCTATACAACCTGACCCCCCGAATAAGGCTTTTGACTTCATAATTATGTTAAATGATCTACTATCTCCAAAAAATTTATTATGAAAACTAAATCACATTTTATTTTTAAAACAGGTGTAGGGTATCATATGGTCGGCAACAGCCGACTATATTTTCTTACGATATAATACCCTACACCTGTTTTAAAAATAAAATGTGATTTAGTTTTCATAATAAAGCATTTATGTTGAATTGTACCTTGCCTCAGATATACTTAAGCCATTTATTTTGGAATAAAATTGTGGACATTTAAGTCATATGTTGACTTAGCACCTATACAAAGGTGCTATGGTCAAATGAGACCCTATAATTATAAAATTCATGAGATTCATCAAGGCTAGTATAAAACTTGGTTTTGCAGCTTTTTCGTATCTCGAGTATATTAAACGTAATTATGAATTTAAAGTCCCTATTCGGGGGGTTGAGTTGTATGGGGGCTAGGTGAAATAAAGGAACGATGTTAACCATTTTCAATAGGGTTATGACCAGTAGTTTCATTAGTAGTAGTTGCGACCTGTAGTTTCATTGAATTATCTTCAAAATTGCGATCTGTAGTTTGATTACAAGGTTTACAAGCCCTATTAACCATTTTCAATAGGCTTGGTCCCTGGGACAAATTTCATTGAATTATCATCAAAATTGCGACCTGCAGTTTGATTACAAGTTTTGATGGATGGACGGACAGATGGACAGACGACTGAGAAAATGATTTTAATCCGATTGGTATACTTTAAGTTGGGTATAGAACCAATATTATTGTGCGTTACAAACATCAGCACAAACCCAATATACCCTACCCAATAAAATGTATGGTATAAAAATCCTTAATTACTCAACGTTATGCTTTACTTAAGATTACAAGGTTTTATATTTATAATAAAAATATCAAACTATTTAATGACAAACAAATAAAAAACACTTCCTCAATTGACAACGAAAAAAGTAACCACTTGTTCTAAACTTGAAAACAAAAAATTCACACAATTGTAACATAGAAAAATATTTATTTGAGCATGCACAGTTTTAATTTCAACAAAATAAAAAGTTCGTGTCTTAAGTCTTTTGTTTAAAAAATGGAAAAACAATTAATTTTAACTTTGATTTCAATTTCCCAGACAAACATATTTAAACGTCATTATATAAGAACATACAAATAAAATCTTTGCACAAAAATTGTTGCCTTAAATAATATTTTATAGCAATTTAATTACATTATAGCATGAGAATGACAAGAGTGCTATAGTAACAGTTTAGCTGTTTATTGAAATCATAATTTTTTTTCAAAAAGAATTCTAAAACTTTAGCCCGCAGCTACAAAACAACAATTTCAAGTTAATTATAAATTATTAACAGAAATTAAACATATTTAATGAAAGAAAAAAAAACAGCAGAAATTAATGATGTGCAAATAATAGTCAAACAACGGTATTTCTTTTTTTGTTTAACTATTATTACTAAACCAAAACGGCATATTTAATTGGCCAAAAGTATTAACAACAGAAAATTGAAACACCGAAAGAAAGGTTTTGTTGGGTAATAAATAATAAAACAGCTAATATTAAAGACAATTAAGAATAATTATAGATTTTAGTTTTACAAAAAAAAAACCTAAAGAAAACATCATTAGCTACATATAACAAATAGAGAAAAAAAGCATGCAAATTAAACTTATAATTTTAAAATAAATAAAAAAAAAAATAACAATAAACCAGCAACCAACATAAACCTCATAAATATAAATAAATAAATAAAAAAAATTTATATTCAAAGTTAAGATTTCTTGGGAAAAATAATCATCAATGTTATATGATAGTCAAGATGAAAGCAAAGAAAGTTGAAAGACCTTTGGGCTTAAGCAACAGTCTACTGCAGTGAAGAAAGAAAAAAAAGATCTAAAGATAGAACGGTCATTGGTCTTAGAGTTTATAACTTCTTTCTCTGCTTTGTTTGTCAACACCAACAAGTAATACTTATTGCCAACTATAATATTAGCTAAAGTAGCAAAAACTTTTTTTTTGGCAATAACAACAATAAGATTTAAATTTTAAGCCAATAAAAATTTATTTTTTTTAACCATCTTTCTTTTTTTATGGTTAAGAAAGATGTAATAGTATTAAAAATATTTTTTTTCTTTTGTTATTTATTCTTTCCATTTCTATTGCTTAACAATTTCTAAAGTTTATTGACTTCTTTCTCTTTTTTTTTTTTTTGTATTTTGTTATTTGTATAATTGTATTTACCTAAACAAATATTATTAGTTTGTTATTGTTGTCTGAGCTTTTATGGGCTTTTTTAAAGTTCGTGTGTATGTTTATTTAATTTGTTTTCGAAATAATTTAATTTGATTAAATTAGCGATAATAAAATTGATTAATTTTCTTTTTCTTTTAATGTCTGCCAAATAAAAAATTTCTTGTTAAATTTCAACAAATTTAAGAGATTTTGTAATAAATGTTTGTGGGAATGTTAATTTTAACATATCAAAAGACATGCGAGGTGTTGATGTTCATAAATTTGTTTTATTTAAATTAAAGCTTTTAATTATACATTCAAATTGCTTTCAAATCAAATGATTAACAAGATGAAGATTTTTGCTGTAGTTATCATGATTAATATGAAAGAAGTTAATAAAGTTTTTTGCAAATATTAAGAAATGATTAAAAGCTTTTAAAATAGTATCCGGCATACTGTATATTTAGTGCTTTTAAAGCTTTAGGTGCTAACATATTTAACATCAATGAAAGACATTTTTCAGCACTTCATCAGCTTTTGTATAAAAAGCTTTTGACATTAAGAGAAAACTTGAATTCAATTGTAGTTTTCTTTGTCCTCTCAAAATTATTCACAAATACAAACACATACATAATACTAAGTCATTATCAGGTTTTGGTCTTAAAGCTTTACGTGTTACAAATGAAATTGAGTAAATCTATTCCTCCCTTTAGAGTATTTATTAAGCTTAGAGTGGTTTAATGATTTTAACAAAATCTGGTTCTTATAAAATTTTCCTCAAAAAATGATTAACGATGTCTTCTGTGGAAATAGTAATTGTACTTTCCAGAGCTTTTAGAGTAAGTTTTAAAACTTTACTTAATATTTTCATTAGAAATTAACTAAATCTACTCTACTCTTTAGGGTTATTGTTAAATTGTTTTTGTAAGAAACTTCCTTAAAAAGCTTTCAGATCAAGCCTTAAAAAAGCTTTATGTAATAGTTTTAGAAATTGAATAAATTGTGTATATTCCTAACCTCAAATAGCTTCATCATAATTCTTTAAAACAGTTTTGGAAGATATGCTCTTTGAAAGCTTTGAAGTTAAGGAGCAAGTTTTAAGCTTTGCATATTTTCTCTGTATGGTAGTTGAACTTAAAGTAGTGGGTCTATGAAAAACTAGTTGATAGTGTTCTATTCTGTCATACCAGAGGTTGTGTATTCGATTCCTACCAGAAACACTGGTAAAGACCCAATGGAGGCCTTGGTGTATTTCTTCGGATTTGAAGAGATTTTAAGCTAATTAACTAAAGTAGTTTGATTATAAAATACTCTAAACTATGTCTTTGAATGAAATTACTTTTGTTGAAAATGCTATTTCAGAGAAAGCTTTATTTAATATTTTCTCAGTTTTTTATAAAAATGCTACTCTTTATTGACAATTAAACCTTTCAAAAGGCGGTTGGGAAATTCAGAGCAAGCTTTTAGAGTATTTTCATTAGAAATTGACTAAATCTGCTCTTCTCTTTAGGGTTATTTTTAAATTGTGTTTGTGGGAAATAACATTTGAGAGCTTTCAGATCAAGTTTAGTAAAAGCTTGATGTAAAAGTTTCATTAGAATTTGAATAAATTTAAATATTCTTAAAATTAACTGGCTACAATCCTTTAAAAAGTGCTACATTTAAGGGAGAACTACTTTTTGAAAGCTTTTAAGTTAAAGAACAAGCTTTAAATATTTACGTAATATTTTCTCTTTATGTTTTAGGTTGAACCTAAAGTAGTGTGTCTACTAAAGGTTAGTAGTAAGAGTTCTTTTCTGACCTGCCAGAAGTTGTAAATTCGATTCCCATTAGAAACACTGGTAAAATCCCGATAGAGGCCTAGATGTGATTCTTCGAATTTTATGTGCCATACATCCTCCTTTCAAACTAATTAACTAAATTGGTTTGATTATAAAACATTCAAAAGCATATCAACGATGTATTTGGTTAAAAAGCTTTTTGTGGGAAATTCTCTTTCAGGGAAAGCTTTAAGGCTTTACATAATATCCACTCAGTTTTTTGTTGAGCTTAAAGTAATTCAAGTATTAAAATACTATACTTTATTTACAATAAAACCTCTCAGAAGATGATTGCAAATTTCACTTTGAGAGCTTTGAGAGCAAGATATAAAGCTTTACCAAAATACTTTCTCTTGATGGTTCTTATTGATCTAGCTGTAGATCACTTAAAGTATAGCACTTGAAGTATTCAAAACTTTATCTTTCTACAATAAAATCTGTCAAAAATGGTTGACGAATGGCTTTAACTAGTTTTTTCTCCTTAGGGTTTTATTGAGCTTAAAGTAGTTTAACTATAAAATATTCAAAATTTAATCTGTAAAGCACGACGTCTTCAAATGATATTGTCTGTGTGGAAAATTCTCATTGAGAGCTTTCGGTGTAAAACATTATTAACTTTGTCTGACTATTGTGTGCAATTTTTGTTAGAAGCTTTTAAAAAAGCTTTTCAGAAAAGTAGCGGTAGATATTTATCTATGGAATCTCGTTAATTAAGTTTGTTCAAAAATTTAATTAGACAAATTTAATTATATCTAACAAAGTTTGATAGAAATCTATAGACTGAAAACATAAGTTTTAAAAAAATCCCCTTATCTTTTACACGAAATCAATAATAATTATTTTAAAATGCAATTTCTAATTTCCATTCCCATAAATCTATAGAAATTTCCCCCACAAACCCACTGGCATCTATTCCCATTCCATTTAATTCTTTAAATAAAACTTAAAACGCAATTAAACATATTGCAAAACTTGGAATTAAAAAAAAACATATGTTTCATCTTCAAAAACAAAAAATAACCTTAAACAATATACTCATATTGCATGTTTTCAAGATACACATCGCTGAGTTTTGCGTATAATTTCAAGAGAGAAAATCTGTGAATGAAAAGCCATTAATAATAATAAAAATAAGATAAATCACAAGCAAACAAAAATAGTTGGTAATTAAAACAAAATAATAATAAAAAATTAACAAATTTTTAAAATAAAAGTGAGTTTGTAGAAAATCTACAAAAAAAAAAAAACTAATTAAGTTTAGCTGGCTAATTATAGTTAGATACTTTTTATCTTAGCTTAACTTAATAAAGTTTATAATTATTTAATCATGTATAGGCATTTTTTATGAAACTCTAAACATAAATAGCATTTTAATCGACAAGTTCAAGTTAGTCTTTTATAAAGTGTAGAATCATTATTAACTATTTTTTAATTTATTTCCTTTTTAACCTAAAGCTTTGAGTTAATAAAACACCCTGACCTTGTCAGACGTCATACCAACATATGTGTGTATGTTGTTGTATAACATTTATATAAAAGTTTTAATAACTCTATCATCATGTTTAGAACAATAAAATCTTTTTTTATGTTTTTTCTCATTAAAAACTCACAGGTTTGCTTCCAAATGGACTACCACATGCTACTTATTAAAAAAAACATTTAAGTAAAACACCCGCTCTCTTAGGTTTCAGAAAAAAAAACCTTTTAAGCAGTAGCTAGTAGTTATAATAAAAAAATCATTATTAATCTTAAAACAATAGATGAGTAGTAGTTTTTTATTATTATCTGAACATTTCAAAGTCCCATGACATTGTCTATATGACTACCTTTACAAACAAAAAAAAAAAAAACAACTAAAACTAAATTCAATACAATGTTTAAAGTCACAGGCCTGCCAAGTCTATCATCTTTATTATTAGAAAAATGATAGACAGATAAAGTTAGAGTAAAAGCAACAGCGAGAGGGTTTTTTGTAATATAAATCTGAAGTTTTCTTTGAAGTATCTATTGTATATCTTGTCGTTTTTTGTCAGATATTTTTTATAATTTCAAGAGCAATTGCAATTAAATTTATTAAGCGTTGCAGCACTTTTTTCTTTTATTTTTTTGCTCATTTTTTATTTGAGTGCGCATCCGTTATAACTGTCATCTACATCACTTGCTTTCTTGTTGTTGTTGTAAAAGATTATCAAGTGATAGTTTGATATATAACATCTGAAATTAAATGTTGTTCAGACGTACTTGCTATACATACATATAGATTACAGTGTGTTCAATGTTATGTTTTGAATTGATAACTGAGTTACGAGTGTTAGAAAAAAACTACAAATGATACGCTGTAATGGAGTCGTTAATTGTAATATTTGTTTGATTATTGCCTGAATGTTGATGCTTGATGTATTTTGAAAATGAATTTTTTATGATTTTGTTTCTTTGCAAATTTAGTTTAGAAAAATTATAAATTTTTTGGAAATGACAAAGAAAGTTATATTTTTTGAAGACATTTGATTGTCTGTCTGTTCGTCTTTATGTACTTCAATTGAAATTGAGTAAATCAACTCCTCTCTTTATGGTTTTTGTTGAATTATATTTGTGAGAGCTTTCAGATCAAAAGAAAAGCTTAACGTAATTGTTTCATTAGAAATTGAATAATTCTAAATATTCTTAAACTTGTCTGGCTACAACATAATCCTTTAAAAAATAGGAAAATTTCGAGAGAATTGAAAGCTTTGAACTTAAAGAGAAAGCTTTTAAGCTTTACGTAATATTTTCTTTGTTGAACTTAAAGTAGTGTGTCTACGAAAGACTAATAGTTAGTGTCATATCAGAATTTATCATATCAGAATTTGTGAGTTCTATTTACACCAGAGCCACTAGTGAACATCCGATGGAGGATTTGTTGTGACATACAAATCTGTCTGTCTGTATATCTGTCTGTTTGTCTGTCTGTCCGTCTTTATGTGCTTCGATTGAAATTTAGTAAATCCTTTCTTTACGGGTTTTGTTAAGCTTAAAGATGACTCTAATAAAATCTTCACCCCCAAAAAATATCGGTCCTCTACTTTTCTCTTAAGGGTTTTTGTTGAATTATGTTTGTGAGAAGTTATCTTTGAGAGCTTTCAGATCTTAAGAAAAACTTTACGTAATAGTTTCGGCAGAAATCCACATTGAAAGCTTTGAACTTAAAGAGAAAGCTTTAATACTTAGCGTAATATTTTCTTTGTTAAACTTAAAGTAGTGTGTCTACGGATGACTAATGGTTAGTGTTAATTTTGTCATACCAGAGATTGTGAGTTCGATTTCCAAGCAGAGACACTTGTGAATTAGTATTTCTTCGGATTTGTTGTGACATCTGTCTGTCTGTCTGTCTGTCTGTTTGACACAATAGTTTAATTTGGTCTAAAAACTAATCCTATATTAAACAGGTTGAATTCAGTTTATTATTTTACCTATTCCCCATATAAGCTACCCTCCCATAAGGACGTTTACTCTACTTTGTTTTCAAATACTTATATTAAAATTGGATTTTGCTGCCATTGCTTCTGTACTATACGAGATATAACTATTAATTTTATTACCAATTAAGTAACATTTTTCAAACGAATATGTAAAATTTAAAATGATTCCAAATGCTAGTTTTTATTTTTGGGTTATAAAGCTAAATATGTCGCAAATAAAACGAGATATATTTAATTAAAGTTAATAAACAAATTTTTATGTTGTTTACCATCAAGTGGTTTTACCCCAAAAAACAAAATAAATTTTGCAATTTCTGACAAAACCAAATTTAATTCAATTTATAGCGATTTAAGTCAATGCTAATGTATGGATTTCAATAAAATATGACTTATTTTATTTATAACATATTCAGCTTTATGAGGAATTTTATAAACAAACATTTCAGATAGTACGGGATTTTTTTATAAATTTCCAAACAAAACAAATATTTCTTAATTTTACGTTTCCAGCTAAATGAGTCATCATCACTTCATAATGAATAAATTTAATACCATTAATCTGATTTTACTTACTATTTATCTAGCTCTATGTACTAGAATTATAATAACATATAGACTTGTATTAGATTTTTAACAAATTTTGAAAAAAACAAGAAATTTTAAAATTTCTCAAAAATCTTTGTATTGTCTCAGAATATTAAAAAATATTCTTAGTTTGAAAATTACATATCGGATTAATCATTATCGACTTATGTTGAAATATGTGATGTCATCTTTTTATCTAGAACCAAACTAGTTTTAAAATTTATATAATTAGCCGATAAATCACTTTAAATGATATCAGTTTGGTGAAATCTAAATATATTAGTTGAACTCACAAATTTAACACTTTTAACGCGTCATCTTTCTCTTCCAAAAAGAAACTTTCTTTTTAAAATCTTAATCAATTTTTATAAAAATTTTACCAATTCCACAAACTCATAAAACTATTTAAATAATTTCTTTATAAGCAAATTTTTAGCATAAATTAAAATTTGCAAACTTTGTTTTTAGCAGTTTTATAACACCTTTAATAAATTTAAAATAAAATATTTGACCTAATTTTAAAATTAACATAAAGGTTATGACTTTAGAAATATTTTTATATTTTAAAGAATTCATATTTTTTTCTATATTCTTAACTTTGAAACATTTAGGCCAGTCTGTATATATGTAATAATTTCACAACTATATTTGACACCTCGTTAAATATTCATTAGCTACTTTAATAAAAAAAATAAAACTTAACAATTTTAAACTATTGTTTTAACAACTTCTCTTAAGAACATCTACAAATATATGCAAATTTATAAGATAATATCACAAACCGTTTTAAGTTTGATTTTGGTTAGAAAACAAAAGATCTATTAACAACACCTTAAAGATTTAAAGCTAAAATTAAAACTTGCATAATATAATTTAAAAAGTTTGTATTTAAATAAGCATTTTAATCAAGCGCAAAATCGAAGCTTTTGTATTAAAAAAAAAAGTTTAGTTCTTAAGTCTTTTGTTTTTTTATAACATAAACAGTTATTTAACATTTTTTTTATTTGTCTCTCTTCTTCTAGGTACATTCACAACTACAACAACCACAATTATATACACAAACACAATTATCGCCATTTAAAACAAATTTAAAAAGTAGTCGATTTCGTAACGAAGTATTTTTTCTAAATTTGGAAGATGGCTATTTTGGTTGTCAAGTAAATGAGTCAACCGACTATTTACAATTATACGAATTATCGAAATTATGCGACGGCAATCAAGATTGTTATCTTGGTTCCGATGAGCTTAATAAAGAGCTTAAATGCACAAGTAAGTGGAACTAGAATAGAAATAAAAGTTCCCACCTATGTGTACAATTTTTTGCTAAATGTCTCATTTCCTTTTTTTCTTTTTGTAGATGACTGTGATAAAGATGGCACTCAGTGCACAAATGGTGTGTGTCTAAACGGTGTCTGCCATTGTAATGATGGCTGGGGTGGTTGTAATTGTAACGTTCAAGGTAAGTTGTTGTTATAAAATTTGAAAAGAGTTAAATTTTTAGGTTTAAATAAAGCAATTAAGAATGCTTAGCATCATTACCTCAGAGTCTGGTTAACATTTATCGTGACGTTATATTGCGTTAGTTTAGAGTTACGGTAAAAAACCAGACCTTGAGAAAATGGGGACTAATTTTGAAAACTAACTTTTTCAGAGGGCTTTATAAGTAATGACCTTATTACTAATATTTGTTTCTATATTTCTATTACAGATGAGAACGAATGCAAATACCGTCCCTGTGATGTATTTGCACACTGTACGAATACACTCGGCAGTTTTACGTGTACCTGTTTTCCTGGCTATCGTGGTGATGGTCTTCATTGTGAAGGTAAGTCATGCAATCGTTTTTTTCTAAAGCAGGAGGTTGTTATTTAAACTCCCCATCATATAGTTTTCCTTGTAATTTTCCAGTTTTTGTAAAAACAATGACAAATTTCTAAATAATATCTACAATTAAAACAAACACCTGTTTTCTGTAGGGTGTTTGGTGTTTTTTTTTTCAAAAACTTCAAACGAGAACTTAATAGAAGAAATTTTATACCCCAAAATCATCTCTCAAGCATAACATTTTCTGTTTTTGTTTTTCCTTGTGTTGTCGTCGTCTTTTGTACATTTCTTAACGGTATCTACTACTATAAACATAACCTTAAATAATATTTATACAAATGCATAGAAAAAAATCAAATATGATCAAAACAAAACAATAATCATAAGCCATATAAACATTACTTTATATGTATATATGTATATATGTTTACTTCTTGGTTTGTTTGTCTGTGTTTACAATTCCAAAGTTACATTGAATACGGTAGAGGTTTTTGTTTAGAATAGTAATGAAAACTAGTATTATACTATCTACCACTATATGTACATATGTGTGTGTATGTAGTTTCTATACTAGTTAGTTAGTTACATTTAGAATAGTATAACGATGAAAAGGTAAAAGAAGTAAAATAATTCAAGCTATAAAGTCATCTAATGATAGCATCTTTTTATATAGACGAGTATAACAGCAACAACAACAACAACGAAAACAGTCAGCAACAAGATTTTCTAGATGATAAGTAAAATAAAACTTTACATTGTAGGAAAAACAATATGACACTGTTTCCCTTATGATGATTAGAATATTAGTTAAAGCTCAGGCAAATAATTTTATTAGAGAACTTATTTTAAGGGCTTTAGATGGCCATTAAAACTTAAATTTCTCTTTAAAATGTTCCTTTTCTCTATTTTGTACTTTATACAGCTTTATTTAAACTATTTTAGTTCTCAGCTGCATGAAAAGCTAAAAGTTCAATCTGATAACAGAATCTAAACCTATTTCTCAGATTTAACTTACAAAATTTTTTCTATTTGTTTCGATATCTTATGGAGAATCCACCATGGATTCAACCCGCTATGAAAATCCAAATGTGTTCCAAACTTTTTTGAGAACGGGACAATCGTAAATACAAACACAAAGTAAAATTGTGACGCCAATTAGTAGTACTGCCATCTCTCTCCAACAATCAGGTGATTTGTTAATTAAATATTAAATTAAATTTAAAACTTTTTCTTTAAATTGATTTATTTCATTTAAACATTATTTAACAAAAAACACTCATTTGGGTTAAGATTTTAACTCTCATTTAACCATCATCTTTAACTGAAATGAAATAAATCAATTTAAAGATAATTTTCTTTTATTGGTCTCACACAGGGCACTTTGATATCTTGCACATAAATCTTTATATAGAAAGTAGTAAAGTAATAAGTTTCTGGCCGAAACCTCTCTTGCTCTTTTGATTTTACACATACATACTAGCTTTTCAAATCCAATTTTTCTAAGAGTTTTAGTAAATTCGAATACTTAACGGATAAAACTTATACATTTACTTCTATAGAACTGATAAAGTCATAATTACATATAAAAAAGCTTAATCTAAATTTTGTATCGGCAAAAATTATACAAGCTCTCTAACTGACAGTTCCGAACTACCCATTTTTACTTATCACTTATTTTAACATCGCCATAGATTACGAAGAGACAAACAAAAAGCTTAAGTTTGTTTTCTATCTCGCTTAGAAAGAGGACTCTAAAGTGACGATTATCTTCACCATTCTTCTTCACCCATAGATTAAACAAGATCTCTAACTGGTCTTGTTTATGTCTTAAACAAACACAAGCTTACATCTATGTAAAATCAAGAGAGCTTATGAAGGAACTTGTTGACCTTCTCAGCAGTTCGGTCGAACAGTTCCGAACTACCCATTTTTACCTATCACTTATTTAGCCCCATAGATTATGAAGAGACAGATAAAAAGCTTAAGTTTGTTTTCTAAGTGTACACTCTCTCGCTTATAAAGGGGACTCTCAATTGACAATTATATTCACCTTTCTTCTTATGAAGGAACTTGTTGAGCTTCTCAGCAGGTCGGTCGGATTGTACCGAACTACCTATTTTACCTATCACTTATTTTAATATAGTCATCCCATAGATTACGAAGAGACAGAGAAAAAGCTTAAGTTTGTTTTCTAAGTGTTCACTATCACGCTTAGAAAGGGGACTCCAAAGAGACGATTATCTTTATCCTTCTTCTTATGAAGGAACTTGTTGAACTTCTCAGCAGTTCGGTCGGATAGTTCCGAACTACCTATTTTACCTATCACTTATTTTAATATCTCACCCCATAGATTACGAAGAGACAGACAAAAAGCTTAAATTTGTCTTCTAAGTGTCTACTCTCTCGCATAGAAAGGGGACTCTCAAGTGACGATTATCTTCACCTTTCTTCTTATGAAGGAACTTGTTGAGCTTCTCAGCAGTTCGGTCGGACTGTACCGAACTACCTATTTTACCTATCACTTATTTTAATATCGTCACCCCATAGATTACGAAGAGACAGAGAAAAAGCTTAAGTTTGTTTTCTAATTGTTCACGCTTCGAAAGGGGACTATAAAGTGACGATTATCTTCATCCTTCTTCTTATGAAGGAACTTGTTAAGCTTTTCAGCAGTTCGGTCGGACAGTTCCGAACTACCTATTTTACCTATCACTTATTTTAATATCGTCACCCCATAGATTACGAAGATACAGACAACAAGCTTAAGTTTGTCTACTAAGTGTCCACTCTCTTGCTTACAAAGGGGACTCTAATGTGACGATTATCTTCACCTTTCTTTCGTCAAGAAAAACTTAGTGCCAACCAGGTGGTTAGACGTCAATAGAAATCACTGTCTATTCGGATGCATTGACTCTTTGTCGAATTGCTGGGTTGCCAAAAGACTTACACACTTACATTTATAGAACTTATTATAAAGAGAGAACCTGGTTATACCTGGTTAAGATAAAGCTGCTCTTAAATATAGCTTTATCTTTATCGGCAGTGAGTATGCATTAAATGAATTCCTTTACTGATATGTTTGTTTTGTATACAAGCAAAAGCTTTCGTTTTCATAAAAAGGTCACGAGAGATCTTATTGTCTTTATCCGATTTTCTCTGATATGTACTCATATTCAGAACATTTTAGATTTTAAATTGTACATTTTTTGGTACTTTTCACTTTACTAAAGAATGTAGTACTTTTGGTACATACATATACGTTGAATGACTTAACAAAAATTTAGAATAATTAAAAATATTCAATTTATGAATTTTTAATTTAAGAATCTTAAATTAAAGCTTGTGGTACTTTTTGTTCTAAAAGTACTTTTTGGTAATTTCCCCATTAATAAAATAGAAACACAAAATTATTTGTTTTAATACTTATATTTAAATTTCCCCTTTAATGAACCTAGAAGTTTCTTTAAAACCTAAAAAAATGACAATAGGAAACTTTTTGGAACTTTTTAAGCATTTACATACACTAAATAAAAAAATCCCCTTTTATCTCTAAATTAAGGAAGTGAATATCATAGCCCATCTCCTTTAAGGAAACAGTGTAACGTGTTTTTCATATAAACCTTTTGGCTAAGGAAAAAAAACGTAAAATATTTTATTACACATGAATGCTTGGTTGAATAGTGAAAAGTGTTTTTCTTTGTTGTTGTTTTCAAAATTTTTCTTGTTGTTGTTGTAGTTGCTGGTGATGTTTGTGTTACCATACGGTATGATTTCTACATATATATACATATGTATATATATAAACTAATCTTTTCCATTGATTTTTACTTTTCCGTACTAAACTACTGCAAAGGCAATAATATTAGGGGTATAATTTTTGCAAATAGAACAAAAAAGTACTTTTTGGTAAGTACTTTTTTGATAATATAGTTGCTCAAGAAATGATTTTAAAAATGTAAATTTTGAATTACTTCAAAGGAATAACTGTAAGAATAAGGTAACTTTTGGTAGCTTTTTGTTATGAGTGCACTTGGACATCGGCTTTCCTGGACAATGATAGTTCTGCATTTGAAGTATACCCCTAATATAAACATAAACCTCACAAACTATCACAAGTAACTATCCCATCCGTCTATCTATCAAAGTTAAAACAAACATACATATGTATATATTTTTGTTGTAATGACATAGAGTTAGAATATATTGAATAAAACAAAGTGGCTCAACATGTAACAACGTCATTGAATTTAGATTATGTAATACTTAAATATAATGGCATAATAAGGAAGAAAACTACAAAACACGAACAAAATAACAAATATTCAATACAGATCAATAAAAAAATATATAAAAGAGTACTAGGAATAGAACAAAAACCATACATAGATAGATGTTAACATGATGTTCATATTACTTGTTATGTTAGAAATTCAAAGGAAATTGTGACAGTTCAAGAAGATGAAAACGAGAGGGAAAAAGTTGAATTATAAATGTGCAAATATTTAAATATTTTGTTTAACAGAAATGGTTATAACAACTAGCAGGAGTTAAATTATACTCAAGGGATTTGTACAAAAAATATTTAGTTAGTTAGGATTGTTTATATATGGAGGTGAATGAGCATGTTAGTGAGTAAATTAAAATTCATTAAATAAAATGTTATGAGGAAATGTGTATAAGTGTTTAGGGAAACTGGATTATTAATTGTGTATAGAAGAGTAGAAATGCTGTAGAAGTTCTTATATGTTAGGTAATTAGGTAGTTATTTTATGTTTCTGTTTGCTGAGCTTAAGTGAAAAACTTGTTGACAACAGCTAATTGTATGTAACTTATCATTAACAAATTAGCAGTTTACTAGGAATACTAAAATGTCTTTAAGGTTTCAGTGCTATTAGAAATATGCTCATTTATATGATATTTAATAGACCAGTACTTATATGTTTCCAGTAATAGTACAGTATATTAAATATATATTTTACTGTCACTTACACCTTAATAGGA